AGCTGCACTCTAATTTCGCATTACTGAGAATTATAAACGTCTTTCATTTTTTCATATCAATCTGAAGTATACTATGTTTCACCTTGCATGGACTGTAGCAGATGCTACAGTAATGAATGTATCAGTTTACTATGCGCCCTCTTGCACGTCGCTGCGCCTTTCCAGGAGGTCACGTGACTTATCGCTGCGTCTTATGGGCTTTAATGGTTTGTGGTATCCTCTGTGGTCCAACATATGGTGGAGGGTAGTATAGTGGCATTCATAAACAAGTTACATAAACATCGTGCAAATTCGGCCATCTAAAGTAACACTCCGCTCACATGAAAATGCTAAATGAGATTTAGCCATTTGCAATTTGGGAATCGCCAAACCAGCATGTACCATGCCTCGCGCCGCGCATGCTACGTGCAACGCTTGGGGCCAAGGTTGTGAGCCGATTTGTTGATTGTTAGAATGTCAGATGGCTGAATGCCATTTAAGCTGCCAGCGAAGCTGTTATTTTTACATCTAGGATGATGCCTAGGAACTGACGTCTAGGACGACCTTGAGGGCGATGTCTCGGACGACCTCAAGGACAACGCCTAGAAGACGACGCCTAGGACGACCTAGAGTATGAGCTGTAGGATGACCTCCAGGACGACTTCGAGGACGATGCCTATAGATGATAACAAGGGATCAAGACCTCACTATCTAATGCCAATGAAGGCTGACTCACACTGGTTGCCTCCTTCTTTTTATTTTTATTTATTCATGCTTGCCACGTCCACTGGTGAGTTTTCTGTCAACATCCGCGGACACATTTTTTCCCAGATCGTAGTGCATAACGGCTTCGCTGTAAAAAGTGTATGCAACAAAAGGCAATAAGTTTGTCACTTTAGTTCTAGATGGTCGCCTTGCGGTTCTACACATTTTTTGCAACGTCAACGGCACAACTAGATGACAGCTGCAAATGCTTCTTTGTGGATCTGTTGAGACCACTTGGATACTACTGATTGAAAGGCAGAGTATCTTGAAACCAATCTATCACGGAGAGTGTCCTTCATGGCCGGAAACAGCGAAAAATGTCTGTGTGGAAGGCCGAGGTGCAAGGGAGTGGGAGGAACCACGTCAGTGTTGTTTCCCTGAAGACGTGAGCTGCATCGTAATAGAAGGTGACAGTTACAGCATTTTCTGGTCGACTCTTATCCATGGAAAGAAATCATTTTGTTCAGAACGTCTCTGTAGAATGCAGCTGTCAGCGCTGTTCCCTTTGGCAAACAGCGGAAGAGGACGACGCCTTTACCATCCCAAAACATTGCCTCCATCATCTCCGCACCGGCGGCAATCTGAAATGTCTTCGGTAGCAGGGAGTCCTACTTCGATTCCTGCAACTGACATTTGGTTTCAGGATTGAAACACAGCATTTAAGTTTCATCCATTGTGACACAATGAAATGAAAGCACCACTCATGCCATTCCCATGCAACAAAATGTCCTCGTCCCATAGAATCTTGCATATTTGAAGTTGCCTCTCATTCCTTTAACCAATCCAATTCTAGAGAAAAAAATTAGATCTTACAACTTCAATGTATAAGAACACTTTTGTATGCTATGATAAGGACATGCCATTACCGGTTGAAGCTACCTGTGTAGAGAAATATATAATGGTAATGAGCGGTCACAGGATGTTTGATCTGAAAACTCTGCCACAAGTGTTGCCAATTGTTGAAAGGAAAACAAAAAAATTTAATCAGAAAACAAAATTTTTTTTTTTAAGGCAAACATTTGGACAGAAATCCTTTGATCCGACATTAGTTGCAAGTTGCTGCAACAAATGACACCCCCGTCCTCTATCCTTGTTGGTGCCCGCTTGCCCGGATTAGACCTTGCCCCCCTCGTGCAGCAGCGGCGTTTTGTGCCTGCCGGCAGCATCGGATGAGTTTGTGGCACTGCTGGGGTAGCGCCAGCTATCGATCCTGTATTTTGAAATGTCGGAAAAGCTGCGCAAAGCCTTTTCAAATGCTTCACAAGATATTGAGGCCAGCTATGATCTCGCAGATTCAACTGACTTCTCCCTAGCACCGAGAACATGCCTCTCATAGTTCAGTTTTTTCCTAGGGACAAAATGCAATTGAGGACTGTAGCAACCTAGCTGAACAATGGACCTTTTGCAAAGCATGCAGCACTGTCTATGGCACTGAAAGGAATGCCAGGAACAGCCTGTGTTGTGTAGAACCAGCTGTAGCGGAAAACGGAGGCAACCTTGGAAGCCACGGATGTGCAGGCAAGGAATTGCACTGTCATCTTTCGCTCTCTCTTGCACTCTTTAGTGTCATATGATGGATGCTGCGGGGGCAAAAGACCTTCCGGTAATTTGTTGCACCCTCGGCGCACTGCCTCAGGGATTTTTCCGCAAGGTCTTCAAGCATCACCTGAGGCATGTGCCAAAGATGAACAATCTTGCACAATAGGCCTGTTCTTTATGGTCTGTTAATAGCTGTAGTCACTCTTAGTGCCTAAAAGTGTAAATAAAGTCATCCTTTTTCTTTTTCGTTTAGTGAATATGCCAGGGGTGTCCAGAGGGACATAAGGCTAGAGCCGCAGACAAAACTTCAAAAAGCCGCAGGAAAAGAAAAGGGGGGGGGGGATGCTTTTTACAAGAAACGATATGGGGAAACGGTCCTTTCTGAAGGGGACAACTATAATCGTCGACTACAACAAATTACACCGCCTGCAGAACGTTTCTCCAACCACAGCGCAAAAATGAATGCCTGGTTCGCTAGCCAGCCACAGCCCCTGACGCCCGCGTTGTGTGTGTGCGGTTGGAAATTCTTTCTAGAACAATAAAGGAAACAGGGTCACTGGAAACATCTGTGTGTCAAAAAGCAGTCCCGCTGTATGTATGTAGAGTAGCGCAAAGCTGTAAAGACTGTGAGGTTTTTTTTTTTAGATTCTAGAGCTCTTTTTGTCTTGGGGATGCAGGAGGGGAAGGGGGGCACACTCAGCGAGATGCGAGCTGCACTTGGACCTGCGAAGAGCCGCATGCGACTCGCGTGTTGCAGTTTGGCCACCCCTCAACTATGCTCTAATCTTCTCAGTGATAGGAATATGTACCTCAATACAGAAGATACAGAACCGTGTCTAGCCAGTTGCCCATTGGAAGCCCTTGGCTTTTCCATGACAATAGTGTGGATCTGTCAGTTTACACAGGTCAATCTAGGGCCTCTAGACAGGTATGCGATGCTGCGTCTTGTGGCGATGGAATATGACGCAAAATATCTGCATTCCACGATTCATTTTTTACATTTTTGTGCACTTTTGTTACACAGATTTGAGTTTTTCTTTTAGCTGCCTAGATGTATTTAGCACTTCCAAGTTCATAAAACAGTCGACAAAGTTGAACAAGCATTTTAGCAACAGTAAGTTCTTTCGTCTTGAGATGGTGCCTTCTGCCCCCCTGTAAGAAGCATTCTGGAAAGTCTAGGGTCCCTCACAGAGCATTATTAGTTTTCCCATTACAGTAAAACCTCGTTATAACAAAGTTGAAGGAGCGGTCGTAATTATTTCGTTATAACCATTAGTTTGTTATAGCCAATGTCCATTTCTTCCCACTATTAGCAAGCAAGGGGAATTATGATTGCTTTGTTATATCCATTAGTTTGTTATATCCCGTTTTGTTATAACGAGGTTTTACTGTATGTGGTAAATTAATATACCTGCATGGGCATTTAAGAACAGTTATTTGTTATTGTATCGAAATGTACCGACAACCAGATCTTGGAAGAACGACTTCATGCAGCATATTAATTATGTGGCAAACACTTTTTTTAGGTAAGAGTGTACAAACTAGTTTTGGTCAGCGCCAGATCAACAGAGGCCCTAAGGAGATGCCACTCCAGTCCCTTTTCCAGCCCTGGAAGATTAACGAGAGGGACTCCAATCATCAGTGCTTGCTTAGGAGGATTGGTCAATGTTCCTGCATTTCTGGGTCATGATAAAAGTCAATCTACCATAAGTACAGTACTTGCCAAAGCTATCTGGAACACACAATTGGCATCCCATCTCATGGGAGTGCTATACTGGCGGTAACCAAACAACTGCTCCATGGCATAGCACTCAATGGAACAGCCCAAGCACGGGAGGCTGCTTGTTGGACCATAGACACCGCAGCAACTTTTTCGGCCGGCTGATCTGTAGTTATCACCATGTATTTTTTGCATGAAGACGCACAGGTGACTGTCAAAACAGTCAGTGATTAGATGATTCAATCAGTCAGCATTTTATGTTTCTACAGAGAAAGACAAAAAGCATATATCACCTAGCAGAAAGAATTGCTCCATTGTCCCCTGTACAGCAGCGATTTCAGCATTGAGCAAGCGGCCTCCCTAGCTCGGACTGTTCCACGGAGCGTTACATCCTGGAGAAGTTCTTGAGCTACCACCAGCATAGTGCTTTCATGGGATAAGATGCCGTTTTGAATAAGTTTGGCGAGCACTGTACACAATTAAGCTAGCCACTGTTAAGGTTCGAGCTTGTACTTTGGGTTTTGGATAATGATGGAGGCAGTGCTCTAAAACCCTGCTGGGCACTGCTAACAATTAGAATGGCTTCCATTGTCTTTTGATGTGTTTCTGTGTGTATCTTAATTGCTTTCATTTATAGCTAACTTTGGAGAACCGGGAATACAGCAAACTTGAACCCGGATAAACACCAAATTTAAGAGACTGGAATCAACTGAAAGTAAATTGCCTCAATTGCTGTATTCGCAGTAAAACCAAACATAAAATATACATCCTGCAAATTTCCAAAAACCTGGAATTCTACCCATGGAGACAGCAATACTTACGAACAAGCGACATTACTACCGGCCCGCACTTCTGCACTAACCAGCCTACCTATAAACAGGACATTAATCTATTGGCTGAAAAACCCCAATCCGCTCTTCTCAACGCACAGATTCCATAAGACTGCACAGTAAAAATAGCATTCTTTATGCAGAGCTAAGTACTGACATTCCAGATCTATCTGATCCAGGCATTTTTATTATGAGAAGATACAACAACACGGGAAAAGTAGCGGAAACAAAAAGGTGATGCGCTGTCATTTTGGTGCAACCTCTTCCTCTCCCTCCTTGCCTGTCTCTGTCGTGGAAGGGACGCCCGCATCCGTCTCCATCTTCTCCGGCTCTTCGGAGTCCCCCTGCGGTTCCGGTGGCTGGTCCCGTTGTAGCTTCTGCTGCTCTCTCTTTTCGTCGGGCGGTTGTTCGTGGTGCGGCTGCTTCTTCCTAGCATCGTAGTCCGCCTCCAGAGTCGCAATCTCCTTCTCCAGTTCCACGCAGGCCCGCTCGATCTCGTAGTTCTTACTCACGAGACTCACCCAGCTGTCCGAGAAAACGGGTCAGAATGTCAACGCGGTGCCCCTCTCTTGCCTGTCGTTGGAACGCTTTGGGTCTCTGCTCCCACGCTTGTTCAAATTTGAATGGGAAAGTGGATGCGATTACAGGACGAGCGCAGATGGTGGCACGCATTTGTCACGAAAAACCAAATAAATTTATCTTGCTTGCAACCTTAGATCAGCCTCATACTTGTGATAGAGCTGGATTCCCATTGGAATCACTTTACAATATGAAGTCTGTTTAGTTCTTTGTGATTTTGAATCACCTCGGTCCTTCAAATGTGCCATTAAAAACATATTGAGTTAATGGCAGTGGTATTAATACAATTCACACTCATTTTTATTAGTTATTCAGATTAATGTTGTTGCAAGCTTTGGGAAAAGCCGGCTTAGCTGCCGTGACACATTGCTTCATCTCGTAAGCCTCATTACAAACTTTGCTGTACCGGTTGTCTTTGATGCCAGAGGAGATAACAAAGTGACCTACCTGACTTCCAGGTTCTTGAGCTTTTCTCCCGCCTCAGTCTGTGAGGTCTTCCTCTGCCAGTTCACCTCCTGAATCTGTTTCCTGCACAGGCAACACAAAAGTATGGAGGATCACAATCGTTTTGAATTGAGAGCATGTTTGATTCAAAATTGCAGTTCTGTTTTTTGTTCTGGTTTTCAACAAAGATGTATCTCCCTTTGTTGAGATCATGCCATCTCTGGAATGTCTACAGATTTGCTCGGTTGTGACTAGTGATGGGCGAAACTTTCTCCGAAACAAGTCTCGGGCCCTAAACAAGTGTTTCAAAAGGTTTTGGAAAAGAGGCCGAATCTCAAACATTTTGGATAAATATGAATAGTTTCGGAGGGTTGCCAGACCACACTAATCAGCACCGTAAAAACACTGAAATGAGGAACACTATACAGTGCGTGAAATAATTAAGTTCGTAACATAAATACTCACAGTAAGAAAATAGCCATGATTTAGTTGCTTTCTGGCATTCTGAATGTGTATGTGTGGGCCACAAACAGCACCCGGGTCGGTAAAGGTGGTTTCGACCTCACAACCATCATATTTTAACAATTACAGAATCCAGATGCGACGCATCTTGGACAAACACTGTCCTAACACTACTCGCCCAGACATGAATAAATGCTTCCTTCCATGAGGAGAGCATCGGCTGCAATAATGAAGTTGTAAGTTATCCATCGTGGTCATACTGCATTTCCAGTCATTTGTATTACACTGGGTGTTTTTGAGAAAAAATAACCATGTTTTCTGGCCTGTGTAAATAAACTATGCATCGCAGGAAGCTGCAACACCGTGCGAATGTGACGCTAGCGGTTGGGACAGAATGCAAAAGTTTGAGAACATGGCATTACCTAGATCAAAAAATAAAAGACCTAGCTAAATATGACAAAACAAGAACTGACAATGCAGATACATGTGTCAATTATATAAGTTAAAAACACTTGGCAACAAAACAGAGCATACTGTTTTCTTTCTTGTTGACAAGTTGTTTTCAGTGAAATGAATCCTAAATGCACCCGAACGTCATTTCTTGTTATGACGATACAGTCAAACCTCAATGCAACGAAACCCCCGCTGTAACGAAGTACATAACTTTTTCTAACCGCAAGCATATGCACGCCATGTATTTTTGACCTTTATGTAATGAAGTCCCGTTTGCCGAAATTTCAAAGTAACGAAGTTTCATGGACAATTTGTCCCAAACTTTTGGGCCCCAAAGGAGATTTTGGGAAGCACATGCGCTGAAATGGGCCCCCGATAAAGCTCAAAGGGTGAAACGGGCCGAACCTGGCGAGTGTGGTGTACAGAACGGCCACTAGAGGACACTAGAGCCGCCGTCGTTTTGTTCGTCAGCTTCGTTCGCGCTGCATAGTTTGTTTCGAGGCCTAACTAAAAGCGTGCATTTCTCATTGTCCTGGGCGATGGAGCCTCAAAGGCAATGGAGCCGCCCCTGACAACGTCGACCTCGACAACTTTCTATACACCGACTCTGCTGTCATTGCGACGGAGGAGGTGACCGACGAGGCGATAGCTAGCCATGTTCGTGGGAACTTGCAAGACAGAGACGACGTCGAGCCTGATGAGCAAGACACCTGCGACGTGCCCAGTGACCGTGAAGTGGTGGACGCGATCGATGTCTTGAGGTGGTTCGCGATCACACAGCAAGACGAAGACGCAATGCAGGCCGTCTGGCTATGCGAACGTTGTGTGATGCCAATAATAGTGCCAAGAGTGGCCCAGAAAAAGGTGACTAACTACTTTCAACCGAAATAAAGGCGACCAAGGTTAGTTTTGTGCACCCGAGAAACATTTGTGGAAACTTTCTTTAACGTTAGCCTCGAATTTCTATGTAGCAAAATTTCAATGTAACGAAGTAAATTCTGAATTTTCCCGACTTCGTTACGTCGAGGTTTGACTGTATTAGTCTTAGGTAGACGCAGGCTCCAAGAGAAATATATTTTTTTTCTCTTTTGTTTTATTTACCCAGAAAGCGTCATGTTCTCAAAGTTTCGTGTTCTATCCCAAATGCCAGCATTACATTTTCAGAGAGTTTCGGCTTCCTGCAATGCGCAGTTTATTTATGCGGGTAAAAAGACACTGCTCTCATTTCCCAAACACACGTGGTACATCCCAACATTTGTGACGGCAAAACGGAAGCGAACTAGACCAAATGGCAGAAAACGATGAAGCACCATGCTATGTCATGACCAGTGGACCAAAGCAAACAGCACTCTGTGTTTGGTAATGCATTCATTCTAGGTACATAAACACACTGCACTAAGGTGTCCTTCCAGTCACATGTCAAATAGGTTGTCTGGAACGTGCACAATTCAGCAAAACTGGATACGTAAGTCTTCTCTGACCTCAAAACAACCTAAGCACAATGCTTGTTTGACGGTACACGGAAGTATCACTCACCTCAGACTTCACCTGGGAAGGGACGATTAGATGTGTACTTCTCATTGCCAGATTTTGACTTCTTGGAGACAGAATTCTGAATGTGTTGATGGCCAATTCTCATGGTAGACAATGATTATGCCATCTATCAAACTCACTGCCGGGACAGCGAACCTGAACGCCACAGGCAGCCGGTTGTTTTGAAGTTACACACATGTTTCCCAATTAACGCTATGATTGATAAGGTTGAACCCACGATTTCCCGAAACTTTGATGCTTGAACTCCAATTTTGAAACTTCGTCGCGACTCAAACTGTTCCAGCGAGAGACGCATACGCTGTTGTAATGTCACAACAAAGTATTCCAAAATGTCAAAGTTATGCCGTAAGACGCATGAAAATTTCTGAAGTGCTTTGATGCTGAGCGCCAAGTGTTTTGCCCTATCACTGGCTATGACGTTAGACCAAACTTGTGCCCGCTAACTTGAAAAATGTAATGGATTACAATTACAAATTACCAAGCCTCAAATGTAATGGATTACCGTTACAAATTACTTTGGCTGGAAAGTAACTGATTACTTTATTCGGTACGTAACAAATTACCTTCAGATTACTTTTCCCATACACTTATAAAAAAACAATAGGCGCAATTTTGATGTTTTCAAAATTGTTCTGCAACACTACTTTGCATTTTTTACATGCCCACATTATGGTAGTCCTTGTACAAATAAAATATTGTATTTAAGAGAAAGAATGGATGTGTACTCCGTTCACGTGTAAACTGACAAAGCAGCGAAAGCTGCAAGCACACCCACCATCACGCTAGCTTAAGGCGACCAGAAACGAAATTTGGCAGACAAAGCTATAGTCGGGTACAGGTTCAGAAAAGTTTTTGAGGGAAAGGAAAGCTGGGGAGGAGGGAGCAAACAAAATGCTGGAGAAAGGAGGAAGTTTCCTTCTCTCCGCTCCAGCATTCTGTTTGCTTCCTCCTCCCCAGTCCTCCTTTCCCTCGAATGCTTTTCTTAACCTGTAACTGACTGTGTCCTCCTTTCCCTCAAGTACTTTTCTTAACCTGTAACTGACTATAGCGGTGCGCATGCTCAGTAACAGCGTCTACCTCTGCTAGGAGATTCAGAGTTAAAGGGATGCTGAACCGAAATCTGGACTCACCAAAACACGCGGCCAAGGCGTGCAACGGGATGCTACAAACACCCAAACATCACTCATACAGCGATATCTCGAACAGATGACCGTATTTTTCAAAAAAAGAGGCGCATTTGGCAGGAATGTTGATGTCATGTTTTTCCGAGAAGGAGAGGGAACGGCCTCGCGTCTTCTCCGCCTCGCGGCCTTGAGGGAGCGAAGCGAAGAGAGGAGGAAACTAGGCATCTTGACATCACGCGCCTCGCCGGCCTGGTTCAATCTTGACTTCTTTTTCCAAAAATACGGCCGTCCATTTGAGGTATCGCCTTACTAGTAGTGTTGTAGGGATTGTAGCGTCCCGCCTACATCTCCAGCATTGTTCTTTTAAAATTCAAATTTCGGTTCACCATCTCTTTAAGGAACCGATCTACAAAACACCAGGCGCTTTTCAGCCGTGCCTCAAGAGAATACTAGAATACAGTAGCGAACATCAAAGACTAAGAGAAGCAACCTCGACCCCTTCGCGCGAGGCTACCTAATCCGTTATGCAAGCTGTGAGCTTGCGAATCGAAGGGGAATGAACCCGCGTTTCATGTCTCTGCAGGTGGCGGGAGAAGTCGAAAAAGTTGGAAAGGGTGAAACTGTGTGAAAGTGAAAGACAAATAGATACACCTAAGCACTTCTTATCAGTTGTGAATGCGAAAGCACGCACGCCACTCATCGCTCCCTTCTTTCGTCTGCGGCGTATGGCGCACTGACCTTGGGTGTGGAACGGTAAAGCCACTGCCTCGCAGACACAAAGAGCCATCGGGTGAGCGATTGTTCAAACTGACGCACAGCGGCCAATGGGAGCCTTGTCGACGCACGCCATCATCAGCTTTGCTTCGCTCCTTTGGGATCGGGGAAACTAGGTGCCGTTGTCTAGGCTTTTCACATGGTTTCATAGCTCGGAGCTGGCTACATTTGGAGAAAGGATTTAAGGTGCTGTTTTCGCACTTCGAAATGATGACATCGGCTCGCTCCATGAGACCCCCCCTCCCCAGTTAATGCTTTCGCATTAAAACAAAGAGCTTCCTCCTGCCCAGAAGAAGAAAAACACGATGGAAGGCGATGAAAAGAGGCAGAGCCTACTTGGCGTTGTCTTCTTGATCTTTGTCTTTCGCATATTTGTATATGCCTTGCAAGTTTTTCTAGTGGTTCTAGTGACTGGTCATACAAAAAAAAATTGTGTTTTCTTTTTGGTTACTTTCCTCTTCTCAATGCTTTCTATTTTGTTGAACTTGCTATCTTTGTGCTGCTGAATGGCCTGATCACATTGCTCCAGTTTTTGTATTATGTTCATATTTTTAAAAAGTAAAGAGTGGTAATTAAAGTAATCTGTTACGAATATATATAATAAAATACATTACAAATTACTGCAACAAGAAAGTAACATGGTAATTACAAAATTACTTGAAAAAGTAACGGATTACTTTACAAGTCTGTGTGAGACGTGCAGATGCATGCCAGTGC